GAAGAAGAAGAAGAAGAACAAGAACAAGAACAAGAAGAAGAACAAGAACAAGAACAAGAAGAACAAGAAGGACGAGGACGAGGAGGAGGATGACGAGGAGGACGAGGAGGAGTGAGGGGGAAGTAGGAGGAGGAGGAGGAGGAGGAGAAGGAGGATGAGGACGAGGATGAGGAGGGAGAGGGGGGAGAAGGAGGGAGAGGGGGAGCAGCAGCAGCAGCAGCAGCAGAAGTAGTTTACTCGCACCTTTAACCTGTAGCCATCTCACGTGTCGTCAGAAACAGATAAAAGTAACAGTAACCCAGAAACGCTTGGGGGCAGGGGGTGGGGGTAATAAAAAGGGGGTCGAGAGGAGACCTCGCCTTTTTTGTTTGTTTGTTTGTTAGATGAAGAAGAGAAACACGTCGACACTATAACAACCATTCATATATCTGTTTATTATTTCATTAATTTTTTGGGGGGTTTGTTTCAATACTAGTTTTACGGCACTTGCAACGCAATTTAGTTCATATAAGTACCGAAGAATAGTAGAGAGGTAACAAGTGAGTAATATACAGAGAATAGGAGGAGAGATACAGACGGTACATAATAGGTTTGATAGGGAGGAAAGCAGAGCATCCGTCGACCACCCACTCCACCCTCCAGGCCTTGTCCACTAACAGAACCACCAGCCAGATGCAAGAGTTCAGGGCTGAGAGGGTGTTTTTAGTTTTATTAAGGTTTTACGGCGCTCGCAACTGAATAAGGTTATATAAGCGCCAAGGGGTGGATGTCAACAGAGAAGTCCAAATGGGAAATCAGGCGTAGAGGAAAAAGACGATATTAAGGATGAGGACAGAAAAAAGCAGGAGACCCAGCACAGTATGAGCATGACATGGATAAATCAGCCCATTTACAATTCCACTGTGCACAAGAACATGGTAATATCCCTCCTTTGGGAATGAGAATGGCCTAAAGACACTTCAGTCAGTATCACTGCCCTTGGGGGGGGGGGGGGGGGAGATACGGACGACACATAATAGGTTTGATAAGGTGGAAAGCAAACCCCAGCAGAGCACCCGCCCACCACCCACTCCACCCTCCCGGCCTCGTCCACTAAAGAATGGCCTAAAGACAACCTCAGTCAGTAGCACTGCCCTTGGGGGGGGGGGGGGAGAGAGATAAAATAATAATAATAATAATGGATTGCATTTATATAGCGCATATGCACTTATGCAATGCTCTATGCGCTTAACATGATACATATAATGGATTTACAAATCAATTTTAAAGGTACATAGTGTTACATACTCATGCAAACACATATTCACTCACGCACGCACCACACACATATACATACTCACATACACACATACATACATATGCACATACAAACTCACAACGATCTACAGCTTAGATGCATTCTGTCTAATCGAAATATGATGAAAATAGAAATGATTTTAGTTTCTTCTTAAAAATTTCTAAATTTTCTGCTTCTCTGATAGTTTTTGGAAGCCTATTCCAAACAAGTGGGGCAAAATATGAAAAAGAACGTTGGCCATATGATTTGTAATTTATTTTAGGCTTAACAAGGGTTGTTTTGTCACTTGATGATCTGAGCGTTCTAGGAGGCACATAGGGTGTTAAAAGCTGTTTTAGATAGTCCGGTGATAAATCATTTAAGCACTCGTAGCAAGTTAAACAGATTTTATATATGATACGCTCTTTCACTGGGAGCCAGTGTAATGCTTTTAAAATAGGAGTCACATGATCATGCTTTATTTTTTTAGTAATTATTTTGGCAGCAATAGTTTGTACTCTTTGTAGTTGTTGTAACTGTTCACCAGCCAGTAAGGAATTGCAATAATCAATCCTTGACAATATAAGTGATGTTATTAAAGTTTTGGTGACACCAATAGATAGATATTTTCTAATGCTCCCTATTTTCTTCAGCTGGAGATATAGATTTTTACAAAGATTGGATACATTCCCATTGCTGTCTTACATCCACAACCCTGATCTTAAGGTAAGTAAGATCGAATACCTAGCCTTTTCAGACAAGGGAAAATAATCTTGGAGGTTCTGTGTGCAAGTAGCGCACGTTTAAGATCCTTTGGTGGTCCTAAAATTGATAAGAGTAAGCTTCGGCAGCCACCCGCGCAAAATTCTAATTTTCTACCAAACTGAACATTTTTAACATGTCCCGCGCTCATATGACCTTATGCAGTTGCGAGCGCAGCAGAACATTTACCAAAACAAAAAAAAAACTTTCAAAATTATGGCACATGGCAAAGTGCTA